TTTGTATTTCCCCAGGTAAGGCCCCACTGAGCTGTGTCGTTATATTTTTCGGAAGCGACCTGGCCACTAATGATAGCTCAGCGAAATTGGCGTATCACGTGGAAATTCTATAGCAGCAGCCAAACACTCGAAACGAATGTTTCTAAGTGTGGAGGAGAAAACCGGACGATCCGGAGAAAAATCCACGCGACTACGGGGAGAGAGAGAGAAAGACGCAAACTCCAAATGTACAGCAGGCGCCAGGGTCGGGATGGAACCCACGACCTCTTGTGTACCAGACGAGGGTTTTAACATCTCCTGGCCACCGCGGCAAGATGTTAAACCCCTCGCCCAAGCTCTGCAGTCGTGAGCAGCTATGGCGGTGATGTTCGCGAGCACCTTTAAAAGGCGTAGAGCAGATGAGGCGGTGTGGACTAAGCAGCGATGCTGATTGGTGATAGCGGCGGCGGCGGTGGTGGTGGAGACGCAGGCGATGGTCGGTGATCGGCGCGACGCACGCAGAGGAGTGAACTCGGAGAGGTACGAGGGCAGCAGCTGCCGTGAGCCGTGGTGGGCGCGGATGATGGCGAGACGCGAATAGCCGCTGCGAGTCACGCTCGGGCAACGAGCGATGAGTCATAAAGACACGCGCACGTGACACGCGCACGTGACACCATGACAAAGATCCACCTCTGTAACTTGTGGAAAACTGTTGGAGCAAATGCTGTTCGATGAAAACCGCACCTCCGGTTATCACGGTTGGCTACGTACGGTGCGAAAGACGTTCATCATCAAAGGTCACATGAAGGAGTGGGTGGCCAGCACTTCGGCCAACCGCCTTTGTCTCCCCAGTGGCAATGTTCACACACTGCACCAGGTCGTCATTTGATGCTGAGTCGGTCTAGGGGAGACCCAGGGCCGGTTCAGATAATTGTCACTGCTATTGGTGGCGGTGAGTGGGGATCCCACTCGAGTCCCTGGGTTCGTAGTGCAGCGTGCTAACCGCTTCACTTCCGCTGCCCACACACAGACACACACACATCGACAAAGAGACACAGATCCCTCGTGTAGCCTGGAACACTGTTGGGGAAAGTCCTGTTAGCGAGAACCTATGAAGACCGCAACGGTACACGAGGGGGTGGGTGGCCAGCACCACGCCCGACCGCCTTTGTCTCTCTAGTGGCGATGTTTACAAATCGCACCAGGTACTCATTTGATGCTGATTTGACCTACATCCACAAAGACACACCCCTCGCACACTCGCAACAACAACAACAACAACCGTCATTCGCCACTAAGTGGCGGTGACGTCACCACGGCGCTCGTGCCAGGCTATGTGCACGTTAAGGCCACGTGAAGTGTCGAATTCCCGGTGGCAGGTGCCATGGGTCGACTGATTGAGACGATTGGCTGATGCACCACCTGTGCCCCCTACTGTGCCAACTTTCTGTGTTTTTAACCGCCCGGCGCTCCGCTCGTTGTTGTGAGCGTCGCTCCTCCGCCCTCCGTTGTTGTTGGAGGGCGACTGCCTCCAATAGCCCAGTAGCGTCCTTCACGAGCCTCCTCCACTGAGGCCGATCTTGACACCGCTGGTACCAGTCATCGGCAAGTCTACTCAGCTACACATCACTCCATCTCTTCTCTAGCCCGTGCCGCGTCCGTTCAGCCCCTTCTATCCGGCCGAACAAAATCTGTTTGGGCATGCGGTGGCTGGGCATGCGGGCTACATGACCCAGCCAACACAGCCTCGCCTGCCAGAGGAGCTCACTGATGGGAATGTCCAGATATTTCAAGGATTTGTGATCTCAAAAATCAGCCTGGTTAAACCCAAGATGGATCGTCGGCAAGCCAGCCTAAATGTGTCTAACTGGCAAACATGTTCCATTCGGGGGCTCCACGTTTCGCAATTATAGAGAAGGCAGGGCATGAGATTGGCCGAGAAGACCCGAAGCTTCGTGTGGAGCGACAGACCAGGTAACTTCCACACAGCGTTACGCAGCCGATGAAAAGATAATGCCGCTCGACTGATTCGGAGTGAGACCTCTGCTGTCATGCGGGAGCTGGTCATGAGCACACTGCCCAGGTATTGACCTATCCACTGACACTCGCACACAGACACCCCATCTCACACCCTCCTCGCTCTCTCAGCTCGAGCTGCCCCCACCACGTCCGATAGCTGATCGGTCGCTCATGACGATGACCGTATCGGGTCGTCACCGGACGTCGCGGGCACCTCGTTGTGTCTCACACGCGGTGTCCAAGGTGGCCAGAGGGGGGTTCGGACAGCCAATGAACAAGAAGAGACGTAGATTTGGAATGTTGCCTAAACGACAACCCCATCGCAATATTTCAAGAGCCGCAATCGCATGTGAATAACGGTCCTTAAAAGAGCCACGTGCGGCTCCGGGAGGTTCCCCAACCGCCTGTGTGACCATGTGGGGGGTGGGGTTCCCCAACCGCCTGTGTGACCACGTGGGGGGTTCCCCAACCGCCTGTGTGACCACGTGGGGGGTTCCCCAACCGCCTGTGTGACCACGTGGGGGGTTCCCCAACCGCCTGTGTGACCATGTGGGGGGTTCCCCAACCGCCTGTGTGACCACGTGGGGGGGTTCCCCAACCGCCTGTGTGACCATGTGGGGGGTTCCCCAACCGCCTGTGTGACCACGTGGGGGGTTCCCCAACCGCCTGTGTGACCATGTGGGGGGTTCCCCAACCGCCTGTGTGACCACGTGGGGGGTTCCCCAACCGCCTGTGTGACCATGTGGGGGGGGGGGGTTCCCCAACCGCCTGTGTGACCACGTGGGGGGGGGGGGGGTTCCCCAACCGCCTGTGTGACCATGTGAGGTCAACACGGCGATGTGGTGGAGCGGTGGTGATTTCAATTCCCGCTCGCGACCACCAACACCTGTGACGATTATCTGAACCGGTCTTTGGCCTGTACCTAGGTTGACTCAGCCTCAAATGAGTACCTTTGGGCGTTGTGTAAACATCGCCACTCGGAAGACAAAGGCGGCCGGGTGCGATGCTGCCCACCCACCTACCCCCCTCGTGCTCGCTAACAGCACTTGCCCCAACAGTCTGTTACAGGCTATTTGGGGAATATTTGATAGCTGGCGCAGTGTAAAGCACGCGCACACACGTGGCACATCTCGTTCAGTCAAATAAAATCAACACGGATTCGTCAACAAGTCCGTGTGACCTTTAAAAAAGTATATAGCAGGCGACATGTCGGGAAATGCCCCTTCTCCATAGCACACACGCACAGACCAGAGATGTAGTCTCTCGTTCTACGTCGCACCCATCACCACCCCCACATGGGCTCAAGGTGCACCCAGCCTGGCACAATGGTTGTTGTTGTTATTGCGTGCACGTGAGCCCACAAAGCGCCAATGTGAGGTCACTGCCACAAATAGGAGTGGAGGAGCTGGTGATTAAATGAGAGCTCTGCCCTCGTCCATTACCTCCATGCGCTCCTAACAAGGGCCTCCTCGTTAACGCATTCAACGATCGGGTGCGGATGACGCTGCAATCCCAATGCGTGACCGTGATTCATGGCGGCACAAGGAATGACCGACCGCTCGGTGTTGTTGCAATTATCTCCGACGGTTACAACATCGGCGTCGAATTCATAACGCTTACTAGACTATACACTACATACTACACCACTACACTAAATTGAGAACATTTCCTTAGCACTGCTTCGTGTGTTTAGTTTGTTGTCCTTTCCCCGGCACGGTCGTATCGCACGGCTCTCTACGGTGTCTTTAAAACGACGGCGCTGGACCTCTCTCAAAAGAGTTAACGCAGAGTCGCTTGCGCGAGATTCAGTGGTGAACGAGACACCCACCCTGCAACCTGCAGACGTCTCTGGACGGGAAAGGGTTGATAAATTCTAGATTTGAAGCTTTCGTGACTGCAAGGATTCATATTCTTAGGTGTTTTCGGTAAAGTCACGTAGGTAAAACATTAAAATTAATAAAAATAAAATAAAAATAACGACGTTTCGGAGGCAACACAAGTCTCCGTCATCAGGTGGGACCGTCACAGCCAGATTTGCTGCATCAAGTGAGGCAATGATTCAAGATGTAATCCCTCAACTTGCTTTTAAGGGATTACATCTTGAATCATTGCCTCACTTGATACAGCAAATCGGGCTGTGACGGTTCCACCTGATGACGGAGACTTGTGTTGCCTCCGAAACGTCGTGATTTTTATTTTATTTTACTTTTATTAATTTTAATGTTTTACCTACGTGACTTTACCGAAAACACCTAAGAATAGGGTTAATAAACATCAGATTAAGGCACTACCCCCGTCGTGCTCGATATTCTTCTTCTTTACAATGGTTGCAACCCGGGTAAGTCTTGAACTTGGACTTGATGACGTCTTAAGCACAGCACGCAACACTTCAGGGAATTCAGAATCAGAATGTTTATTTGTACTGCAGGACGAATCCGATCAGCTATAAAGTTCTTTTTCACGGATGTCCAGCCGGGGCACGATCAGAAAGTTACAACAAACACAAACACGGAGTAAAAAATATAGGAAAGGTAAACAAATCACTCAAAAATATAAAACTATATTTTTTTAACTTACCAGGTAAAGGCCACTAAGATGTGAACTTATTTTTCAAAGCGAAATGGACACAAATGATAGCTCAGCAAAGTGGCTTATCACGTGGATAATTTATAGCAGCAAAATAACGTAAATAATTCGTGGTTAATTTAACAATATTAGTCCCGAGTGGTGATGATGATTGGGGGGAGGGGGGGGGGTTTCCCTGTTCATTGTGACACCAAACTAGTTCCCAGGGCAGACAGGAGACACGTCGCGTGTTGTGAAAGCAATTACAGTGGTGAGGTCATCCGTGGGCGGGTGAATGTCCAGGGTCCCGCCAGTCCACTCACTCACCCACCCGGCCCTGCCGGTCCACCCACTCACTCACCCACTCACCCACCCACCGGCCTCGCCTGTCCACTCACCAACTCACTCACCCACCCACTCACCCACCCACCGGCCTCGCCTGTCCACTCACCCACTCACTCACCCACTCACTCACTCACCCACCCACCGACCCGGCACTGCCGGTCCACCGGACTCACTCAGGGCGGCTCACGCATCGGGAGGGTTGCAAGTTCAACAACTGCTGATTGCGAGGTTGACGCAGCCCATCATCAGCCCTCCCTCCGGAACATGTGAACTCCTGGACATGTGAAAAATAGCTTTATAGCTCATCGGATTCACCCAGTAGAAATAGATGATTCCGAGTACCACTTTGAGGCATCGGCAGTGGTCGTCCTCTTGTGTAAGAGAATCCCCCCCTCACTTCCACCCGCCATAGGAATGTGGATTTTCCACTGCTGGCTCTGCAGGGCTGTCAACGGGAGATGGGCGGCAATGCCTCGATGCTCATCTGAGCAGAGATAAATAACTTTTCTTTGACGCCACAGGAATTCTTATACGCTGGATGATATATCTCTCGGCAGTTTTGTCCAGCACAATCGTAACGTAAAATCATATCTGCCAAAGTCAGCGTGAGTGTTGGCGGTGTGGTGGTCAGTGTTGTTTACCGCACCTCCGATTAGCACGGTTGGCTACGTACGGTGTGAAAGAAGTTCAACATACATGGCAGGGTAGAGTCAGTGTTAGAAGTAGGATTCAAACACAACTATTAAATACAAATTTTTATTATTTTTTTCCAGGGGTCTGGGGGTCCCAACCCAGAAAATATCTACATTTGAAAACTCATCTCCTGCCTAAAATATAAAAAAAATTCACTAACACATGGGATGGACTTTTTATTTCTTTTTTGACAATGTCTAATAGTGTATTGTATTACATTGCTGTTTTTACTTATTACCATTTCTTGTTTCATTGTATGTAATGGCAGAGATTAGGGATTAATAAAGTACAACCATAACCACAATCATATAAACATAAATCTATGCATTGATTTATATGAAGACACGTCCAGATATTGTGGCCAAAGTTTAGCAAATTGTGTTTTCATTTACATAGCATCGCAATAACAATTTTTATAGCAATATATTGGGGGGGGGGGGGGGGGACATTTTGTGCATGTGTCCCCCCAATATATATTATAATTATGGCCTTGTGCAAATGTATAGTTGCGGATAAATAATCTAAAAGCATGTTTTACTTTACAGCCGTTTATTGCCCTGAAACTCATCGAAATTGAGAACTTATTTATTTAGAACTGCCTGTGTTTGTATACTCTTTGGTTCTTTCGGTAAAGTCACGTATAAATTTCGATTTAAAGCTTTCGTGACTGCAGGGATTCATCTTCTTGGTTCTTTCGGTAAAGTCACGTAGAAGGGAAGTAATAAAATTATAAAAATAAAACATAATATGTTTTATTTTTATTATTACTTATTATTATTACTTATTATTACTTCCCTTCTACGTGACTTTACCGAAAGAACCAAGAAGATAAAGTCACGTAGGTATAAATAAAAAAATAACGACGTTTCGGGCGTAACACAAGCGTCCATGAAGCGTCCATCATCAGGTGGGAAAGCTTGCTTTGATGGACGCCCCAATTGTTGCGCCTGAAACGTCGTGATTTTTTTAAATTTTATACCTACGTGACTTTACCGAAAGAACCAAAGAGTATGGATTCCTGCACTCACGAAAGCTTGAAATCAAGATTGTGTTTAGTTTGCTGTTCTTCCGCCACACCTCCGATTAGCACGGTTGGCTGGGTACGGTACGAAATAAGTTCAACATAAAGTACATACATACACCATGGGGTCTGATGAGAATTACATTTTAAGCTCTTTTACCGATTACCATTGTTAACCGGAAGTATTTTATTGATACAAATAAACGTGGTAAGGCGAAGCGTATGGTGCTGGGTTTGGCAACGTGATGGGTAATACGAGGGATAACTTTTAGGGGTAACACGTAGGAGAATAACACCTTCAGGGTCCCACACATTATAGAATGAAACGTGCGTTTAGATTATGTATATGTATTTGGCTGCTGCTGCAAATGTCCACGTGATAAGCCACTTCGTTGAGCTATCATTTGTGAGGTCGCTTTTGCAAAAAAAAAATAATCTAACAGCTCATTGGGGCCTTGCCTGGAAAAATACAAATGGTTTATTTTTTAAGTGATTTGATTACCTTTCCTATATTTTGCACTCCTATCGTGTTTGTGTGTACTGTTGTTGTAACTTTCTGACCCCGTGCCCCTACTGGACATGTGTGAAAGAGAGCTTTACAGCTCATCGGATTTCTCCCCTCTAGTTTAAGGACATTCTGATTAAGTGGAAGAGACACAACGGAATGTTGGGAGAGGCAAATGAGTGAGGGTGTAGAGTGTCGTGGAGGTTCGGTGACTCACGGGGTAGTAATCGGCGACTGCGTGTTGATTGAGCGAGGGTGTGACTGGTGGGGCAGGTAGGAGGGAGGGTGTTGTCAGTGATAGAGTGTGGGGGAGCAGTGGTGTAGCAGTTTGCGTGCTGCGATACGAACCCGGCGACCAGAGTTCAATTCCCACTCACGGCCAACACCGGTGATGATCTTAACCGGTCTTGGGTATCCTGCCCTAGGTCGACTCCCCAGTGGCGACCGGGCGTGGTGTTGGACACCACCCTCTCGTATGCCATGCAGGCCCTTCATAGGTGCTGCTCCCTAAACAGCACTTGCCCCAACAATCTGTTCACATTATACAGGGGATATTTGTCTTTGTATTGTGTGTGTGTGATGCCTAGCACAACACACAAAATCAAACACGAATGAACGAACCAAACGCAGGAGGATGATGGATCAGTGGGGAGGGGGGGCAGCAGCCCTTAAACGAAGGCAATCAGTCCTCGATCCCTACCGGAGTCGTCGAGGATTTTCTCCCCCCTATCCATGAGGACCGTGCTAAGATGGCTCTAGCGAGCAGTGTGGCTAGGGCATGGGTCGGGAGCCTATGGCTCGGGAGCCGCATGCGGCTCTTTAAGGACTGCGTCGTGAGTTTATTCAGACACCCGTGTGGTGCGGCTACTCCAGCCGACCCCAGTTGCCAAGGCCTTTGGTCTTTTCCTCTTTCTCTGAACCCAACCTCCTGTCTGTTGAGGTGACTGCTCTGCTGTAGAAGTGTCTCTCCATTATATTCGGTAGTCCCCTACCTTGTCCCTTCAGTCTTCCTCTTCCCGGTTTCTTCTCACTTGTTTTCCTCCCTTACGGATATAGTTAATATTATGCTTTTGTTGAGACATTGGCATTTGAAATGTATCGCTACAGAAGGAAACAGCATCTAAGCTGGATCCAAAGAGTGACCAACGTTGAAGTAAGAAAAAGGATGCACATAGAAGACGCCGACCTGATGATGCAGGCAGTGATGAGAAGGAAACTGGCACTATTTAGACATATAGGATGGGAAACAGGAACATTTTAAATGTGCTGTTCAGAAAAATGGAAGGAAGTGGAAAGAGAGGAAGACCTGATACAGAATGGCTTGACGACAACCTAAGGGATTGGTGCCAGAAATATGTGGCACGACTTCAGCATATTGGCACAAGACAGAGGAAAGTGGAAACAAATGAAAAAAAAAATTTCGATTTAAAGCTTTCGTGACTGCAGGGATTCATATTCTTGGTTCTTTTCGTAAAGTCTACGTGACTTTACCGAAAGAACCAAGAAAAATGAAGAATTGTGCAGTGGACACCTATGGGCTATCTGCCGCAGGTGTGATTCATTTATTATTTTAGGGAATGTAATTAATGTCATACACAAGTGACGATATCAATGGAGACCGCACGTTAGTGTGAACAGATCGTGGATGCGCCACGGCTCTGTGAGCTGGCCAAGCGCAGCGCTAAACCGGCCGCCCTGCACCGCGACCTCAGCTCTCCTGTCATGGGCAGTGGCACTTCTTGTTCCGCTCCTGGCTGCGCTCATGCATGTTGAGGTGGCCCAGACATGTTAACTTCCTACCGCACTGAGCACACGCGTGGTGCTCCCTCCGTCCTGTTGTGCATCTTCCGCTGGTGGTTCCTCATTGCACTGCACGTGGGGAACGCGCGGTCGCAGTCGGGGCAGCCGTAGGGCTTCTCACCTGTGTGCTTGCGCACGTGGATATTGCGGCTGGTTGCCAGCGCGAACGCCTTTCCGCACTCCGAACAGCGAAAGGGCTTCTCGCCCGTATGGACGCGCAGATGCTTCTTCAAGGTGCCCGTCTCGGTAAACGTCTTCTTGCAGAACGAGCAGGCGTGTGGCCTCTCCCCCGTGTGGAGGCGCATGTGGGTCTTGAGGTTGTGTGCGTGGGAGAACGTGCGGCCGCAGTGTGTGCACTTGCAAGGCTTCTCACCCGTGTGGGTGAGCTCGTGGTGGCGGAGGTGGTGCCGCCGGGAGAACATCTTGCCGCACTGGGCGCACCCAAAGGGCTTCTCGCCCGTGTGCGTGCGCTTATGGACATCCAGCGAGGACCTGTGCCGGAACAGCTTGCCGCAGCGCGCGCACTCATGAGGCCGCTCCCCCGTGTGCCTGAGCATGTGCATCCGCAGGAACGTCCGGGAGGTAAAGCACTTGCCGCAACGCGGGCACTTGAACGGTCTCAGGTCGAGGTGGACGGTGTCGTGGTGCTTCCTGACATTGCTGAGGCTTGCAAACGACTTGCTGCACACGGCACACTTGAAGGGCTTCTCGCCCGTGTGGGAAAGCAGGTGCGCCACGAGCTGCCGGCGCTTCCGCGCGCGGTACGGACAGCGGTCGCAAGCATGCGTGGCCATGATGTCGTCGGCGCCGCCGCGAGGGCGCGGCGCGGTGCGGCGGCCTTCGTCGGTGCGCAGCAGTCGCAGCACCACGGAGCACGGGCGCAGCACCGGCCTCCGCTCGCTCCCGGAGACCACGCGAGTGCCTGACGCCGTCTCGCAAGCCGATGGAGGAGGTCGACCTGGTGAGAAGTGGTAGTGGGGAACCAGTGGCAAGATGTTAAATACCTCAACTAGTATAGAGGAGGTCGTGAGTTCGATCCACTGAACCCTGCTGTATATTTGGAGTTTGTATGTCTCTCTTCCCATGGTTGCATGGATTTTTCTCCGGGTCTTCAAATTTTTCGTCTACGTTAAGCAACATGAGTTTAGAGTATTTGGCTGCTATAAATTTCCACGTGAAAAGTCGCTTCGTTGAGCTATAATTTGTGGCCAGGTCGAGTCTGAAAAAGAGCTACATAGCTCAGTGGGCCTTACGTGGTGAAATAAAAAAAATAGTTTAGTTTTGACTTTAGTTTAAGTAAAAAATAAATGTTTATAATCACTTTGTTTTAAAACTGTTCAAATAACCAGCTAAGAGTAAAACAATACACAACCGAGTGGCTGATCTAAATAACTTTGATGAGTTTTTTCTGGCATTTTGAATCGATACAGATGGAGTTGATTAAGAATGGAAAAGCGCACAGTTTGCAAAGGGATGCCCCTGTTCCCCTCCCCCACTCCACGCATAAGACATGGGTTTGTAATTTACACACGTGACTTTCGAAATTTTTGTTTTCAGGACATAAAGGAAGCCGCCCAGTCAAATCTTACTTTAGGCTACTGACAGGATCCGGTGCAGCACGGTTATTATATTATTATTGTATGTGTGTGTGTTGTTGTATGTGTGTGTTGTTGTGTGTGTTGTTGTATGTGTGTGTGTTGTTGTATGTGTGTGTGTTGTTGTATGTGTGTTGTTGTATGTGTGTGTTGTTGTATGTGTGTGTGTTGTTGTATGTGTGTGTGTTTAAATAATTCTGCACCTTACACAGCCAACCGTGCATTGGAGGTACAGGGGAAGGACAAACTAAACACAAAAAGCAGTTCTAAAGAAAAGAGTTTGTTTAACACGTAGACTTTCGCGATCAATATCATCCATAAGAGGTTTATTTGGATTACATCGTGTAAATATGTGTCGTTAAAACCATCCCCGATCCAACGGAGCAAATTAGTAAGGGTTGTCACATAAACAGAACATGCCAATTCGTTACTAGTACAATGCATTGGAGAGCCAAGCCACAACAATTACATCTGAGTACGACGTTTCGCCAGAAATTACAACTAGCTTGATCAGGCGACAGCCAGATTTGTTGAGAAGTCCACCTGTTTTGTTCCTTTTGTAATGAGCGACTTCCGTGACACGTCGTGTAGAGTGTACTTCTTATATTACTCACACTGGCACAACACAGGCCAACACTTATTCTTCCTCCCACTGAGTAAAACACTCGATTTTAACGTCTCTACTGGCGACACACAGCCGATCACTCGGCATGGTCCCATCGTCCTCACTCGGCGACACCGCTGACGATGACGGCGATGGAAAACATGCAGGAGATCTTCCACGTGGCCGGACGACGGAGAGAGATGTCGGTGAGCAGCGACGCAGCCTAGACCCAAAACCCCACACATGAGCCCCGAGCCCCGGGTCCACTCCCCCTTACATCTCTCGAGGCGACGCCCTCTCGTGGAACCATCGAGCAGGTTCCCGGAATATCTCGGCGAGCCCCACCTATTACCTTTGCCCCAGATACACCTCCTTCTCCGATTGGTTGGTACGTAACCATGCCCGTACCCGTGATTCCCTTTCCGGCCAGCAGGTGTCAGTCTGTCATTACACTTATATAGAGGCGTAGATGTGGTGCTAACGACTTAGTGCTGAATGGAAGCGAATCATCAAATAATATATTGTTTAAATGCATGCCTATACAGTCCACCATACTTCAATAGGGATTAACGTTGGTACGGCTATTTTAATACACACAATGGACAGGAAGGACAAGATCAAAGGGCTCGCATAATGCACATGCATAATGTACGCTGACTCATTGATCCCACCCCCCCCCCCCCCACTTTGCGCAAGAGCGCAGAAGTGTGGTTCACCACATCTACGCCTCTATATAAGGAACGAAACAAGTGGACTTCTCCACAAATCTGGCCGTCGCCTGATGAAGCTAGTTGTAATTACTGGCGAAACGTCGTACTCAGATTGTAAATGTTGTGGCTTGGCTCTCGAACAGACCGGTGTGCTGTACTAGTCACGAATTGACATGTTCTGTTTACGTGACAACCCTTACTAGTTGGCTGTGTCGGGTGGTGGCAGGTTTTAACGACATTTATATATATAAGCGATCGAATAAAACAAACTCAACTCTATTATGGAGAAAAGAGTTTGTTAATCTAAATGATGACTTAAGTGCATAGCTCTAGCGGCTTCCTAATATCTGAAGAAGGAACGTTCCAGATGCCCGCAGAAGCAGCACATCTGAAAGTGCCACGCAATGCGGTGACCGTCTTTGTTCCATGGCTAGCCAAAAGCCGCTGCTGCGAGGATGACAGGACTTTGTATGATGGCTTAAGCTCCTGGACAACCAGTAGCCAATGCAGCTCAGCGAGCACCGCACCGACATGGTCAGATCTTGCAGGACTCATCATGACACGTGCCAGGGAGTTTTGCACATGTTTTGTAGTAAGCAACCTTTTTGACCTCCGTGAATTGGATCCCAATCGACGACTGCCCAAACTCACCATGGCCATTGTCATCCACCGGTGCCCCAACATCCATCCTTGCCTTCGTGTTCACGTCTGCCTCTCCGTCATCGCGCTTCACCTTCACGTCACCTCCTGGGGCCGGGGCGTGGATGCAAAGGGGAGGGGCACACAGTGGGATGGGGGCGGGGCAGGTGATTTTAGGTGGGTACTTCGTATGCATGTGTAGCGCAATAGCGCTGGCTGTCTAAAAAGTGTAACTACAAGGTACGGTAGTACACACGTTAAGGGACGACAGTATATACAGGGGATAAAACATCTCGCCGTGCTGTCGTCTCGACACCATCGTCGCCGCCGTCTTCACCATCGCCGATGCTACTAGCTAGAGAGCCTGCCAACTGTTCTAGCTAGTTAGGTACAGCCGACGATAGACGGTTGTGTGTGTGTCTGAAAGTGTATATATATATAGTGTGCACCAATGTAGGGTGTGTGGAGTCCCCACCGTGTGTAAGAAAAAAAGGTGCCTCCAACTACTACTGTCTCCGATTGCATCACTACATTTGGTGCCAGAAGTGTCTTCATGTCAAAGGCGAAGAGGAAAAACCCACCTGTAGTGTCGTCGGAGCAACAGGAGCAGCTCCGGTCCCTCACAGCCGCCTGTCGAGGAAAGCTGGCAGGTGCTCACCGGGCATCTTGGTCAGCTGCTGTCAGCCGCTGCGCAGCTGGTTGTCCAGCTTGCCACGGCTGCGCCCGCCAGAAGAGCCGTGGCGTAGGAACTTCAAGCAGCCCGAGCACCTACTGCCGCCGCGCCCGAGCTCGAGTTTCCCGCCATTACGCACCGCCATCTTGTCGGAGCCAGTCGGCGAGAAAATCGAGTTGCCCCCGGCGGCGTTCATGGAAGCGCTCTTCCAGCACAGGCGGTTGCCTCCCGTCTGTGATTTTGTAGCGACGGGGGGCGACTGGACGGCGTTTCAATGTTTTTTTGAAGCGGCATACTTGTCAGTCGGCTGGTTGGAGGGGGAGGCGTTGCGGGCTCTGCTGACGGCCCTGGATTATGACTTCCTGGTGGCGTCTAAGGCTATTTTGGAGGAGGATAGGACTCTACCTCGGGCGTATGCCCAAGTGACCGGCATTTTTGACCCACCGTTCAACATGCGCAGAAGGTTTTTGCTGCGGAAGAGAGGGGAGGTCGAGACGCCTCTCCTCGTCCACAGCACTTGGGCCAAGCAGCTTACCCACACACATACCGGGCGGCGCTCGACTCCCTGGCGCTGGACAGGTTGCCGTCACTGGCGCAATAGTTGGGCGTCGCCCTCTCCATCACGAAGGATGATTTGTTTTCCCTGAAGGTGGCCCAGTGTATTCAGGTGCACCTTAAGCTGCGGTAGTGGCCCAAGATGGCTGCTTGCGCGGGGGAGCCCGAGGAACCAGAGGGGCCTGCACCGCGGGAGCTGGAACAGGCCTATGCTTACTCTTTGGTTCTTTCGGTAAAGTCACGTAGGTAGAAAGATAAAAAATAAAATATATCACGACGTTTCGATCGCAATACAAGCGATCGTCTTCAGGCGGAAAAAAATATCCAGCAGTGGAACTGATGAACCAGCGAGAGAGCTGTTACAACAAGAGGTTATTTATGTATGTGGCGATGGGAAAGCAAGCGGGGTCTGAGCTGGAAAGGAATTCCATCCCCGGACACAAGCACGTCAGTTGTGTTAATGGGGGAGATTAAGGAGAGAGAAATTTGGGAGAAAGATTAGCATGAAATGAGCTTCCGTTTCCGTATAAGAGTATCCCCCCCGCATATGCGCACAACAGCAGTGTTAATGGGAGATTAGCACTATGTTGATGGGGGAGATTAGGCAGGGAGATTAGGGGGATTAGCAAGTTAATGTCACGTCTATGTGTAACACAAGCTGCGGCGCTGCCAACTGCGCTGTGAGGCAAGCGCATCCATGCATGAGAACCCCGGCGCCAGTGAGACATGAAGAATGCCCATCACACAGCCAGAACCATCGATACATTGATGGTTCTGGCTGAGGACGAACGCTTGTGTTGCGATCGAAACGTCGTGATATATTATTTTTCTACTTATGTGACTTCACCAAAAGAACCAAAGAGTATGGATTCCTGCAGTCATGAAAGCTTCAAATCAAGGCCTATGCTTCATTCAGCCGGGGCCCACGCGGGAGAGTTGTCCAAGGGACGGTAGCCAGAGAGGCGTAGGCAAGAGCGGGACCCTCTTCCGGCCTGGAGATTCGCTACCACCTGCTCCAAGTGCAGCCAGCCGGGCCACATCGCCAAAGGGTGCCGGAACAGCGCCGAAGCAGCAACTTCGCCTTCAACGTCCTCTGGCTCCTCCATCTTCATTCCTCATCTTCTCGCGGCGCGTGGACGGCGGACTCGGGCGTCGGACGGATGGCCAAATTCTGGCAAGCAATGGGATCAATTGGCTTGCCGAGTCGTAGCAGCTGTGGCGGGTTCGTCCACAGTGGTGGGGTTTATCCAGGGGGTAGAGATAAAGACTCTGGTCGATATAGGAGCTTCGGCTACCATAATTTCTGAACTCATTTACAATTTGTTGCAGCCGGGAACCCATTGTCTCAGCCTGGTCGCGAGAGCTTGTGTTGCCGCCAACGGTGGAAGTTTGGAGATTGTGGGAAAGATAGTGGCGAAGGTCCGGAAAGGGGAAATTTAGTTAACCGGGCTGGTGTTGGTCTCCAAGTCGTTGGCTGTGCCGTGTCTTCTGGGCACCGATTTTTTAGGGTGGATGCCCCTCAAAATCCTTATAGACCAAGGGTGCGTTGGGACAGCGATTGGCCTTTTTGCAATCCCCTACTAGGCTGGCAGCGGCTAACGCCACGGTCCAGGCCCTGGTGAAGGAATCTTTTACGATCCCGCCAGGCGGACAAATGCTGGTGCCCTTACGGCTCAGGAAGCATCTGGAATTGGCAAATCCAGAGGAGGGGGTACCATCGTCAGAATGGACAAAGAGCCCTTTTTACAGGTGCTAAATGCTGAGCTGTGGGCAGCTGTAGTCTAAGCCAGCACAGTTTTGGCCCATGCAACTGCTGCACGTTGCGAGGAAACTGACACAACTGCAGAGGAGGTCATTGGCATGGTGGAATGGGAAGGCGAGTCGGATGAGACATGGATTCACAAATAGTGCTCCGAAAATTACGATTTGCAGGAGTTTGCAGATGTTTTAGCCGAGGGGATATTTGACATTGGCCGCACTTCGTTATTGCAGCCCCAATAACAAAATTCATATAGGATGAGCCCCAAGGAGAAGGACCATGTCCAACAGGCAATTGACGAGATGTTGGTGGCTGCAGACATTATCTCTCCCTCTAGCAGCCCATGGGGGACTCCCATTGTATTGGTTAAAAAACGGGACGGGAACCAACGCTTTTGCTTAGTTTTCCAGAATCTGAATTTTTTTTCCGTCGCAAACGCATATCCACTCCCTCGGCTGGACGATTCCCCAGATGCTTTGTCTGGTGCCTGGTTCTTCTCAACCGTCGATTTGTTATCAGGGTTCTGGCAGCTGCCCCTAGACGAGGAATCCAAAACTAACACCGCATTCCAGACGCACCAATTTAACTGCCTCCCTCTATGGGGCTGCATTCGGCTCCAGCCACGTTTCAACGTTTGATGGAATTGGTTTTGGCAGGTCTGCAATGACATTCGTGCCTCATTTATCTGGGTGATGTCATCGTGTTCGGACGCACGTTCAAAGAGCACTTGCTGCAATTACGGTCGGTGTTAGTTAGAGTGTGGGCGGCCAATCTTAAATTCAAACCGCATAAGTGCCACATCTTTCAAACATCTGTGCGGTATTTGGGCCATATTGTTAGTGCATCCGGGAAAGCCATCGACCCCCACAAAATCGCGTGTGTGCGCAAATGGCCAACCCCCAAGTTGGTGGGTGAGGTGCGCAGATTTCCCAGGTTTGCGTCATATTATCGCCGGTTTGTCCCGAGGTTCGCTCCATCGAATTTATTACGGGAGGTGTGCGACTCCCTCTGCACAAAGAAAAGTAGGACATTGCCCTACCGTCCTCAGACAGATGGGATGATAGAACGCCAGCCCAGGACCCGAACATGAATGCTGTGCCAGGTGGTCAACGACGCGCAGTCAGACTAGAATTTACGCATCCCCCGTGTCCTGGTCACATACAGGATAGCCCCACATGCCGACCGGGATTCTCCCCGTTTTATTTTATGTACGGGAGAGAGAACGAAACCGACCTGTGGAAGCTCAATTGGGCATGGCTTCAAGCAAAAGGAAGGCCAGCATGCCCACACCCATGCAGGTTACGCTTAAGCGATTGATGGAGGCGCGGGAAGCGTCAAAAGATAATTCAGCCGGAAGGCAGGCATTGCCCGCAGGTACCACTCGGCACGTCCCCTAAATTACACCAGCCATGGCGGGGTCCCGTCAAGGTAGTGGAAATTAAGAGGCCACAGTGCGTACAAATACAGGTTGGTCGCCATTGTTAGTTTGTACACCCGTCGCGGTTAAAGCCAAATAAGTGCATCTGAAAGCGCGCGAATCAGTAATTGTCTTTGTTCGATGGTTTATGCTCCTTGATGAGATCAAAAATATTGTGGTTCATTTGTGGCAAGAACTTTGTGTGTAATGAGTGCCAGATCTCACTTTGGACTTGTGAATCCCTGTGACGTCTGCCACTCTGAACCCGAAGACGAATGCCCAAACTCACCGCAGCGGCCGATGTGATCCACCACCACCTCGACGTCCACAAACGTCCTTGTGTCCATGTTCGCTTTACAGTCACGCTCGACCTTCACGTCGTGTGCACCTGCTGCGGCCGCCGGGACAGCAGAGCAGAGAGGGAATGGAGGAGGAAGGGGAGTTAGCAGAGAGATTTAGCGAAGCATTATGACATGTGACTTTCACACAGCAAGAGCACCAAATGCACAATGAAAATAAATAATTGATTGCATACGCATGCACGTTCATATTATGAGATTGGACATCAGCCCACGTAGCTATAGAAGCCATGTCACACGTGCAGGGTAAGCGGTCCAGTAGATAGATGACTGCAGTTTTGAAAGAAGATTCATGATTAACATATGCGTAGCATGCAAATTCATAACTAAATAACACGAGCATATAAAGTACATTAGCGTGGAAGTAAACAATAAAGAAAATATAAAATTTCACTCTTCACTTTTTCCATCCCACAATAAAGTAATTGAGTAGAACTGGCAGGTTCACACCCGTCAAACATACATACAAATAAACATATGGGATCAATTGCATATGTCGTGTCAATGATTCAGAGACAGTTTCGAGGAGGCACTTTCTTTATTAAAAACTTTCACGGTCTCGTCCACACACTCTCCACAATAGCTCAGCTGAGCTTGTACATTACACGAGCCGTCTAACACTCAAGGTGCTGACTGATATAGCCAACTACTATCCTTCATAGCACAATATATAACGGAGACGTTTAGCAATGATGGTGACGAGATGACAGCAACGACGAGATGAGTCCATTCCCAAAACCAGAAGCCTCGAGCTCCCTCTCTCGGCTCCTCTTATGCTACCAGCATGGCCTGACTCTGCCCTGAACGTGCTTCCCTTCTTGAACCTGCTAGCAGGTTCCAAGGGCCTCCAGATGGGGTTCTCTGTGACCCTTACCCTAGTTCCTCTTCTTTTCCAACACACCATGCGCACCCTCACCGGCGTGTGTACTGTCTGTCCACCACAATTGCCGCGGCTTGTTAACAGCCGGCGCCATTATACTACACCCCCCCCCCTTGTTTAAAAAACCAGCCGTCCTGGCTAATATACAGCAAAGCAAATGGGTGGATAGCCAGAGAAACTCTCCCACAACAGAGGAATATGACAAAAACACCAAAAAACCCACAACCAACCAAAACGAGTCGTGATACTCCCTGCGAATCAACAACCCAACAACAGCTCCACACGAGCAAGTCGGCGTGCGCGCAACCACACAGCACAACCACAACGCCCCCCACGAACCGACAATACAAACGCTGTGACACTCGGCGTGCAGCGCATGCAAAAGAAAACCCATCAACAACAACCACCACCAACACAAAGCACGCAGGACCACACAACCCCTTCTCAGTGCCCATTACCCCCTACATGCCATTTTCCCCCAATCAGACAGTACAAGGGAGAGTCTGCTTTACCGGACAATGCTCACTTGAACCAGGTCCTTGACGCCGGTCCCCCGCCTTGGGCAGAATCTTGTACTTCTTGGGGGCTCCGAGGAACAAAAAAAATGGCCTAAAGGGCGCAGCCCCTCCTTGGCGAGGGCTGTTGGTAGGGCCCCCAGGGCCTCCTCTTTCGTCTACCTGACAGACACCCAAGCTGCTTTCTTAGCGACGACGGAACGCCGTCCAATCGCCTCCCGTCGCAACGAACTCCTGAACGGGAGGTAGCCTACGTAGTCGACACGTTGCTCATTGCAGTGCCGCCGGATGCGGCGCCCTGCGGCCCACCCCAAAGATACCCGTCGGCCATGCCATGCCCTCTGCGGGCAAAATGGCGCCCGGCAGCTGCATGGTCTCTTCCGCGGGAATAGCCTCTGCAAACTTCAGCTCTGACGCACCCCGCGGCCCTCTCCCAGCGGCACCCGCCGACAACGCCGTGCCCTCCGCGGACGAAATGGCAGTCGGCAACCGCGTGGTCTCCGCCGCGGGAATCGCTGCTACAGACGGCAGCTCCGGCGAGCCCCGTGGCTCACTCGCCGTCACCCTGGACGGCAGGCGCGGACTTGGAGAGCTGCGCAACCAGCTGGCCAATGGTCATGAGGAGCAGGTCAAGGCGGCCAACCACTTCGTGCCACCCATCCTTGGCTCGTGACTCCGGAGGATCGGCACTCCTCTGCCGCTAATCCGCAGTCGCCGCTCCGGCGCCGACGGGGTTTGTAACCGGGGTCCCGGGTCCGTTGGAGGCATGACCGTCTCGCCGTCCTCGTCCTCTGATGACACTATGGATGGGTTCCTATTCCTGGATAACTTCGACATTGCTACTTATACCTAATGTCCATTGAATTTTCCACGCCACTCCTGACACCAGTTGTAGTGTCAACAATTCAGAGACAGAGTTTATAGGAGTCACTTTATTAACAACTTTCACGGTCTTCTCCGCACACTCTCCCCAGTAGCTCAGCCTAGCCTGTACACAACACTAGCCATGTAACACTAATGGCGCTGAATGAGATAGCCAACTACTATCCTTCGTAGCACAATATATAGCGGAGACGTTCAGCGACGACCGCAACGAGACGACAGCAACGACAAGATGAGTCCATTCCCAAAACCGTCAGCCTCGAGCCCCCGCTTTCGGCTCCTTTTATGCGACCAGCACGGCCTGGCTCCGCCCTGACCGCGCCTTCCTTCTCGAACCCGTTAGCAGGTTCCAGCGGCCTCCAGATGGGGTCCACTGTGACCCTTACCCTGGTTCCTCCTCTCTGCCAACACACCGTGCACACTCTCACCGGCGTGTGTACTGTCTGTCCACCACAGTTGCCGCTGCTGTCCAACAGCCAGCAATGACACTACACATACATACAAACATGCATGGGAAAGGCTTAACGCGACTTCCTGCGAACCCCCAGAGGGAGCGGCAGCAGGGGGCTTACGAAAGCCAACGATGCCTCGGCGCTGGAGTCTGTGCAATAAAAGGCTTGTTTTTTGTATTGGGTTAGCTTACGTGAATCAAAATGTTGTCGTTAAACCCGCCACCACCACCCGACACAGCCAATCAGTGAGGTTCGTCACATAAACAAAACGTGCCAATTAGTGACTGCTTTAGTACACACTGGTTATGTAAACCCACTACAACATTTAGAATTTGAGTACCATGATGTTTCGCCAGATATTACAACAACCAGCTTCGTCAGGCGATTAGCCAGAATCGGCTGTCGACGGGTGGCATGTTTAACGACACATTAACATTTATGCGATCTAACCCAAAAAAAACCCTTCATGGTGGATAACATTGGTCACGACGGCCTACGTGAGTACGTTTCTGCCCCCGACAAGTTTCCCAGTGGACACAGAGGGTGGTACTACCCATTCACTGGAGAGCAGTGGAGCAAGACCATCCTGCGAGTCGTCCTGGCCAATGCTTCATTGCGTTATGACCGTACAATGTGGCGTGGCATCGTCAGCTTAACAAGCAGACTTTAGAGATCCTGTGAAGTTACTCCAGCTGCGGTGGCGAGAAGATGTTAACTACCTCGCCTGTTACGCAAGAGATCGTGGGTTCGATCCCGACCCTGGTGATGCCTGCTGCTGGATATTTGGAATTTGCATGTCTCTCTCTCTCCCCGTGGTTCCGTGGGTTTTTCCCTGGGTCCTCCGCTTTTTCCCAGCACATTTAGAATCAATATCAACATGCGTTTGGAGTATTTGGCTGCTATAAATTTCCACACGTTGAGAAGCCACTTGGTTGAGCTATCATTTGTGGGCAGATCACTTTTGAAAAAGAGCTGATTGGATTACTCTGAAATTATTATTCACTTTTATTATAGTTCTTTATTTTATTACAATTTTGAGAGTAGTCATTGATATCAGCTTTCTATTTTTCTTAGATTGTATCTATACTTGTGAGTGTAGTTGTATTTTACGTACAGCGCTTTCAGATAATTCAATATGGAAGGCGCTTTGTATAAGAGCTCAGTGGGCCTTTCCTGGTAAAAAAAATAATAGTTTTAAAATAGAGTGCGAATGGAGTGCATGGGTTTCCTCTGCAGTCACTCCTCTCTACAATTAAACGCTTGCGCTCACAACGTAACTGGTGTTGGCCAAAACCTCCCATTGGGAATTACGCACGGGAGCTCGGCCAATGCATTACTGGGTGAATAAGCGTGAATTAAAAAAAGTTAAACTTAAAAAGGACCACCAAGATTGTGCGTGTGAAGACGGAGGGAGCAGTAAGACATTGAGATGAGAAGAGGGGGAGGAGGATGGGGGTGTGAGCAGGACTCTCACCATTAAAGGGGTCATCCATAATCACCTCTACCTCCAGCCGCTGTGCGCAGGGCTGAGCGAAGGCCCAGTGTCCCTCCTCACCCTCCCCACCTGACAGTGAGACAGAAACCCGCCTCTCTCACGACTCCTCATCCTCACACGGCTGGTTGTGGTGGTGGTTGTGGTGATTGTAATAGTTTTGGTGGAGTGGGGACAGACCAGGTAACTTCCACATAGCATTACACAGCCGATGAATAGATAATGCCACCCGACTGATTTGTAGTGAGACCTCTGCTGTCAAGCCAGAGTTGGTCATAAGCACACTGCCCAGCTATGGGAAACGCTCCACTTTCCCCACAACTGCTCCGTCACTAATGGGGAGCTGAGGGGGTGAAGTGTTTGATGGCAAAAAATACCCAAGCAGGTGTTTAGTTTTAATGGGACTGATGGTAAGACCCCACCTCTTAGTGGCACACTCCAGGTTTAGCAGCAGCATCTCTGCACAAAGCTTCCGGTCTTCTCGGCCACAGTCATGCCCTCCCTTCTCTATGCTTGTGAGACGCGGTGACCTCTTAAAGGAACAACCGGTTTAAAACATTCAGGCTAGCCTGCCTAAGATCCAGGGTTTAACCAAACTGGATTGTGTGAGGAGCTCACAGATCCTTGAAAGATCTGGACACAGTCCCATCAGTGAGCTACTCTAGCAGGCAAGGTGGCATTGGCTGGGTCATGTAGTCCACATGCCTAGCCACCGCATGCCTAATAATTTTATGTTTGGCCGGACAGATGAGGCTAAATAAGCATGGCATGGGTTAGAGAAGAGATGGACCAATGGGGTCCAGAAGGATGTGGAAGCCAATTGGACTTGTCAATGAGTGGTACCAGCAGTGTCAAAATCGGCCTCTGTGGAGTAGGCTCGTGAAGGATGCTACTGGACAGTTGGAGGCAGTCGCCCTCCAGCAGTAACAGAGGGCGGAGGAGTGACGCTCAAAACAACGAGCGGAGTGCCCGGCAGTTAAAACGCCGCAAGTTGTCACAGTAAGGGGTACAGCTGGTGCATCAGCCAGTCATCTCAGTCAGTCAACCCATAGCACCTGTGTCTGTCCCGTGACCTCCTGTCAGCGAGCTTTTGACACTTCACATGGCCTCAGAGTGCAACTAGCCTGGCACAAGTGCAGTAGTGATGTTGCGGTGGTTGTGGAGGTTGTGGTGGTCATCTCACCATCGTCCGGTTCGATCTTCACTCTGATGTCGCCGACCTCCTGCTTCAAGTCACCCGCTCTGAGAACGGGCACTGGCAACACGGAGTTGGGCCATCACACAGACACGGAGGCACGCGTCACACACAGCTTATCACATCTCACAATTGTTTTCCGGTGGTGGTAGTTGTGGTGATAGTTGTAGTGGTGGTTATGTACGGTGCAAAATAAGTTCAATATACATACGTTGTGGTGGTGTTCGTGGTAGTGGTTGTAATGGTGGTGGTTGTAGAGGTGGTGGTGGTTGTGGTGGTAATTGTAGTGGCGGTTGAGTGGGGAGCGGTGGCGCAGTGGTTAGCGCGCTGTGCTATGAACCCGGCGACCCGAGTGTGATTCCCGCTCACGGCCAACACCGGTGAAGATTGTCTGAATGGGTCCTGAGCCTCTCATAGGTCGACTCAGCCTCAAATGAGTACCTGGTGCAGTGTGCAAACATCGCCACTAGGGAGACAAAGGCGGTCGGGTGTGGTGCTGGCCACCCACCCCCTCGTGTGCCGTGCCGGCCTTCATATGTGCTCGCCAAGAGCACTTGCCCCAACAATCTATTAAGGCTAGACGGGGGATCTTTGTGTTTTGGTTGCGGTGATTGTGATTGTGGTTGTAGTAGTTGTGGTGGTGGTTGTGGTAGTTGTGATGGTTGCGGTGGCGGTTGTTGGTGGTGTTTGTGGCGGTAGTGGTGGTTGTGGTGGACGTCTCACCATCGTCCGGTTCAATCTTCACTCTGATGTCACCGATCTCTGGTTTACAGTCACCCGCTCCGAGAACCGGAGCTGGCAACACGGAGGCACGCGTCACACAGACACGCGTCATGCAGACAAGGAGGCACACGTCGCGCAGACACAGAGGCATGCGTCACACAGAGAAACCTCCGATCCACAAATACGAAGGAGACAACACAGCGATACACTCCGCTGCTCCTGACAGCGGTTGCCTGTCTCGGCAGTATGAATGTGAAATTGTAATTGTTGCTCTGCATCTACATCAGCCGTACTCTACTGACCCCAGCAAAATCGCCGCATCCTACAAAGTCATTAATCTAACAAATGGCTCATCGAGCCCAGAACCAGGACCGTACTGGCCAAGCGGCATTTCTCTGTGGCTTCACCGGCAGCCGTCTGAAACTCGCTCCCACTGCACACACGAACATATGTGCAGTCTGTTCTCCTATAACGATAACATGTGAGATGCGTATGCAGGCTGAACAAAGACTGAGGCGCGTGGGTGGCATCCAGAAGGATCCAGCAGCATCCCAATGCCATGTGTGAAGCTACGTGGAGGCACATCTAGACTGAGTTTTCAATCTAGATGATGATTTAAAAGTGCCCAGCTCCAGTAGCTTCCTAACATCAGAAGGAGGAGCATTCCATACGGCCGCAGAAGTGCATTCGAAAGCGCGCAATGCGGTGATCACCTTTGTTTGATGGCCAGCCAAAAGTTGCTGCAAGTATGACTGGAGTGCGCATGATGGTTTATGCCCCTTGATGAGATCAGCAAGATATTGTGGTTCATTTGTGGCAAGCACTGTGTCTAATGAGCGTGACCTTATAATGTATTCGTTCCGCAACCACAAGTCAATGTAGCTCAGCGAGCACCGGACGGAGACTGTCAGGTTTCTTGTAGTACCCATCATGACACATGCCAGAGAATTTTCTACACGTGCTGCTGCTTGCTAGGAGAAGAACTACAGCAAGAGATGGGGTGACTAGCATGGCCCCAGGCCCACTGGAAGCCTCCACCACTACCTTCGACCTCCAGCTTCAAGCCAGCCCAGGTCTCCACGCCCACGTGGCATCCCTCGTCCTCCAGTTTAAGCGACTGCCTCAGGCTCCATGACTATGGGGGGTGGCAGGGGGGATAGAGAGACAGGGAACCACATCAACAGAGTCCTGCATTCAACAGTAGCTGTCAGCAGTGGCTTTTTGGTTTTCATCGAACAAAGACGGTCATTGTACATGGTGTGCTTTCAGATGCTTTTTCCACCACACTAATATATACTGCACTACTATATCCATAACAGTTTTTTTTTGGGTTAGATCGCGTAATTATAAATGTGTTGTTAAACCCGCCACTACTTGACACAGCCAATTAGTAAAGTATGTCACGTAAACAGAACATGCTAATTCGGTACTAGTACACCACACCGGTGTGTTGGAGAGCAAACCCACAACATATACACTCTGAGTAGGACGTTTCGCCAGTAATTATCACTGGAATCATCAGGTGACAGCCTGATTGAGCCAATCATGTGCGAAGACCAGAGGGGGGAGGAGAGGGGGGGGGTTAATGTCTTCATATAAATTGGTCGGGTTATTCATATTGTAATCAACGTACATTATGCATGCACGTTATGCATATACATTATGTATGTGCATTCTGCCGTTTTAGGGTAAAATAAAAAGCAATACCTGTTACTTGTTGCTCACAGTTAATCACCATCGATGTATGGTGACCTGTATAGGCATGCAGCAAAACAGTGTCTATTTGATAATATGCTTCCAATCAGCAATAAGTTTGCAGCTATGAGAACAGTTAGAATATTTGTTTTTCTCAATTTCAATAGATTCCCAAATTAGTCTTGGCCAGCAGTAGCCAGTTTTGCACAAAACCTCTAAATTATCAAAATCAATTGAGTGTCCTTGTTGGCACGTGTATTCTGCCACTGCCGACAGTTGTGATTGGGAGTATTTAATATTTATGTGATGTTATTTTAGTCTCTGTTGTTGACAATTAATTCGTCCCGTCTGACCAACATAGCATTGCCGCAATGTACGGTATTTTAATAGTTTTAATTGCTTGATCAATTTCAACATTTGTGCTATTTGATTTGGTTTTGGCATTCAGTGCCCTGTTGATTTGTAACCATTCAAAGGCAGCACTTATTCAACATGTTTAATTTCACTCCTCAGACCATCACCATTTGACACTTTCTTAGCCCGTTGTACGAGCGTCTTGATGAAAGAGGATTTCTGTGCGGGGTGATGGTGTGACCGCATTCAAATAGGCGTGGTGTGCGTTAGTTTTATCAACCTCTACTTCCATGGTGAACTAGATGGATGGGTTACGTGAGTTAAGATGATTTATAAATTAAGTGTTATCTTTACTGTATGGCCAGACCACCAATGTGTCATCCACATATCGAAACCAAAGAGGGTTTTAGTGTCGTTGAAGCTAGTGCTTTAGCTTCCAAGTCTCCCATGTACAGATTCACAATATCAGGAGACGAAGGAGTGCCCTTTGCTGCTCGTTTCTTTTGTTTATAGAAATCACCTTCCCACAAGAAATAGGTGTTCTTTAGACAGTGCTCAGGTAATCATGGGATATCTGTGGGTAAACCTGTGTTAGTCACAGGAGGATTGAGTAGTTTAATTGATTCGTTTACCAGAACCGTTGTGAACAGAGAAGTCACAGCAACATTTATCAGACTATCCTTAGGGTTAATCTGAATATATTTAATCATATCTATAAGGTGTTCTGAGTTTTTGATCAATGAGAGGTCCTGTTGAAGTAGGGCTGTATTTGCTTGGTTACGTATTGTGCTCATTTGTACGTGTCAGAGCCTATTGTACTATGGGTCTTAAAGGGCCACACAGAGCAACACTGTGTGACCACACAGGGTCACACAGAGCCATACTGTACATAGCGCCATACAGAGCCATACTGTACACACAGGGCCACACAGAGCAGTACTGTACATACAGGGCCATACAGAGCCATACTGTACATACAGGGCCATACAGAGCAATACTGTACACACAGGGCCACAGAGAAACACTGTACATAGTGCCATACAGAGCAACACTGTACACACAGGGCAACACAGAGCCATACTGTACACACAGGGCCACACAGAGCCATACTGTACATAGAGCCATACAGATCAATACTGTACACACAGGGCCACACAGAGCAGTACTGTACATACAGGGTAATACAGAGCCATACTGTACATACAGGGCCATACAGAGCCATACTGTACATACAGGGCCATACTGTACACACAGGGCCATACAGAGCAACACTGTACACACGTGGCCACACAGAGAAGTACTGTACACACAGAGCAATACTGTACACACAGGGCCACACAGAGCAACACTGTACACACGTGGCCACACAGAGCCATACTGTATACACGTGGCCACACAGAGCAATACTGTACACACGTGGCCACGTCCGAGCCATACTGTACATAGAGCCACACAGAGCAACACTGTACACACGTGGCCACACAGAGCAGTACTGTACATACAGGGCCATACAGAGCCATACTGTACATACAGGGCCATACAGAGCCATACTGTACATACAGGGCCATACTGTACACACAGGGCCATACAGAGCAACACTGTACACACGTGGCCACACAGAGAAGTACTGTACACACAGAGCAATACTGTACACACAGGGCCACACAGAGAAACACTGTACATAGAGCCATACAGGGCCATACTGTACACACAGGGCCACACAGAGCAACACTGTACACACGTGGCCACACAGAGCCATACTGTATACACGTGGCCACACAGAGCAATACTGTACACACGTGGCCACACAGCAGTACTGTACACACAGAGCAATACTGTACACAGAGCAACACAGAGCCATACTGTACACATAGGGCCATGAAGAGCAATACTGTACACACAGCAGTCTCTGCACACATGGGGGGGGGGGGGAGAGGATATCAGAGACACACACAGATCCACACACACAGATCCACACACACAGAGCCACACACACACAGATCCACACACACAGAGCCACACACACACAGATCCACACACACACAGGAAGCTGTCTAAGCGAGTAAACTCTCGGCCACTCACCGCTCACGCCGCTGCTGGCGCCGCTGCTGCTGTTATTGATGTTAGTGATGATGTTGTTGATGTTAGTGATGCTGGTAGTGATGTTGTTGATGTTAATGATGTTGTTGATGTTAGTGATGTTGTTGATGTTAGTGATGCTGGTAGTGATGTTGTTGATGGTAGTGATGTTGTTGATGTTAGTGATGCTGGTAGTGATGTTGTTGATGGTAGTGATGTTGTTGATGGTAGTGATGATGTTGTTGATGGTAGTGATGTTGTTGATGTTAGTGATGCTGGTAGTGATGTTGTTGATGGTAGTGATGTTGTTGATGGTAGTGATGATGTTGTTGATGGTAGTGATGTTGTTGATGTTAGTGATGCTGGTAGTGATGTTGTTGATGGTAGTGATGTTGTTGATGGTAGTGATGATGTTGTTGATGTTAGTGATGCTGGTAGTGATGTTGTTGATGGTAGTGATGATGTTGATGGTAGTGATGATGTTGTTGATGTTCGCGATGTTGACGCTGCTGCTGCTCGCTGTGGTTCGGACTCTCGTGCGAGCCGGAACCCCAGAACCACGTGGGCGACAAAGGGGCGTGGCCACAACGCGGCCCTGGGAGAGCGGTGGCGCAGCGGTTAGCGCTGAACTCCGCCTCGAACCGCCCCTGCTCACGGCCGCCACTGGCACCGGTGACGATTTCACTGGTCAACAAAAAAAAAATGTTTTTCTGGCCTGGACTTTTGCAGCTGTTCTAGACAAATTTCAGGGTGCTGATTCCAAATCTGATCTCAGATTTGCTCTATCACAACTCATTTTTATGCTATCGGTATAGTACCTCATTTTCATTGATTTTACCCGAAATTAACTCTGTCACTTATGATTGCAAGTTGTTGCGAGTCAGTGACTGCTTTAGTGTTAAAATACGGTGCTGGATTTTTAGGATAGTGTGTTTATAATATCATTTTATGTAGATATCCACATTTATTTAATATTTTTCTTCTGCAGTTTTTATTGAAAATGCAATATTTAATATCTCAAAAACCTGATGTGATAGACAAAAACTGATGCCAGATTTGGAATCAGCACCCCAAAATTACCTTAAAACCGTTGGAATACCTTATGCCAGAAAAAGTGTGTTGACCAGTGTTATGCAAACAGACATGCTCACAGTATATGGTATATAGCCAATCACTTTCAGAGGCAATGCATCATATGAACCTTATTGCGGGACCCCGGGGTCCCGAATAAACGGAAGTTAAAATCGTAATTAATTAATTTAATTTTGGCGACCCCACCAGAAATCAATCCTCTCGTTCCTCACCAAGCACCCGTCGTTGCCAAAATTGCCATAGTCACAAACACAACTTCGAAACTTTGATTAGTGCATCGCGCAGAGCTCGTCGAGAGGAACAGATTGCCACACCATTCGCCTTCAACAGACATAAAATGACGTCGCAACGCAGTTTATGTGAGAGCCGGGGGCTTATGGGACCCCGGTGTAACAGGCTAAAATAACCCCTGCCCCGATTAAACCCGGGTATAGTTTGGCCCAGGCCAGAGTATACCCGGGGGGGATAAAGTGTCCTAGGCTAAACTATACCCCCCGGGGGTTTAAACTAGACTGGGCCAGACCATACCCCTCCAGGCCAGAATATGCCCCATGTGAAAGTTCAAAGGCAATTATCCATACAGAGAACAGCTGACAACGAACTTCAATCGATATCTAAAAAGAGCAGTGGCGGCTCCTGCAAAATCTCTCAGGGGGGGGCAAATGTCTGGATGATTGATAAGGATAAGGTCCACCCATGCAATGGATAAATTAACAGCTTAAGCATGTAAAGGCAACTTCACTTTTTTAATATTAATGAAAAATAAAGTGACTCTTACAGTACATCTTGTTTGTTTCTATACTCACTATTAAAACAAACCACTCAAGTTTCTTTTAAAGATTCCACTAGGTGGCCACAAATTATATTGTTGGATGAAACGTGCTTACGTATGATGACGTAAGCACGTATGATGACGTAAGCACGTTAGGGCGAGCCCTCCCGGAAGCCATAGAGAATGCATTGCAGCGCCCCCGTTCGAAAAAAAACATCTTTGAATGTAAGTCTATGGGGCCACTCGGGGCGATTCTCAGCTGGAGGGAAATCGCACAAAAAGAGGCGGTACTCCACAGAACGTAGCATGACGCTGATTGGACTATATCCAGAGGCTGACAGTGACGGCTAGCGTGACTCTGTGGTTGAATGACATTGGTGGTGCGTCGCCCAATCGCCCTAATGAAGAAACCGCCCCTGAAAAAGAGTATAAATGGAAGTAAATATCTCAATTTGATCAATTGAAGCATTTTTAGGGTTAGGGTTATTATTAAAGTTTTTGTGGTTGAAGCAATCAAAGTCTATGTGTTTACAGTTTTAAATAAAATGTTGGAAAAAATTAGTGATTCATGTGTATATCGCTCAACACTGTTACTATCATGGGGGCATGATTTGGCCTAGAGGGGCATAATTTGGCCTAGGCCATAATATACCCCAGAGTATAAATTGGCCTAGGCCATAATATACTCGGGTTTAATCTAGCCTAGGCCGTTTTAACCCCGGGTATATTACGGCCTGTGGGTATACTACGGCCTGTTACACCGGGGTCCCGCCATAATGGTCATATTATCAGATCATGTTTGGTTGCATGTTGTGCCACAAGTATGTGTGGTTCATGCAGACTGTATTTCTTGTAATACGTATCTATTTGGTGTGTGTGCATACAAACACCTGTGTTATTCCGAGCAATCAAACTTCACGCCTGGCAGGGTAACGCCCTAGTTAACTGAATTGAATGTCTCCAGTGTTAACCGAGGACGTGTGTTGTATGCGTCGAAGATTGCAATGTTGTAACGATTCCATAAAATGTTTATTTGGGGTAGATCGCGTACATATGTGTCGTTCAACCCGCCACCACCCAACACACCCAATTAGTAAGGTTTGTCACGTAAACAAACCGCTCCAATTACTACTTCAGCACACGGGTGTTGAGAGAATAAACCCTATTCGAGTACGACGTTACGCTGGTGTTTACAGTCAGCTTCATCAGAATTGTGAAGAAGCCCTCCTTTTTCGGTCTTATATAGAATAAAGGTGATGTCGCCACTGTGAGCTTATCAGGTGCGAAGACCAGAGGGGGGTTAATGTCGTCATATAAATTACAAATGCATCATGTTAATCTGAGAATATTCAGTACCTATTATTGGTTGGGTTGTAATGATTTGCAGGAGGAAGAGACGCAACTCCGGGGTTTACGCACCTCCAATTACACTATGTAACACAATTTTTGTTCCTGGGTCATAAGTGTTTTCGTAATTGCTTATGCCTAAAAAGTATAGAAAATGGCTATTATTCCCCCAAAAACTTTGCTTTTGTAACCAGGACAGTGATATTTTGAAATGTACCTATTTTCTACTAGCCTTTTGCCCGTCCTCGGACCGAAGCTGTAATATTTAGGAAAAAAATGAGCAGAGTATAATTGTATCTTGTGTAAATTTAATGGTAGTGAAACTTGGAAAAAAGAATGTCATCAAACACTACACTGCATTTCACTGTAGCACTGTATTAATGGCAGTGAATTTTGCACAAAACGATGTCAAACACCTCACTGAATTTCACTGGAGTACTGTATTAATGGCAGTCATGCTTGCACAAACTATGTCATGAAACACCTCACTTCACGTCACTGTAGCACTGTATTTAACTGACCTTCAATTAGCATTTTGCCCATCCTAGGATGGAAGCTGTAATATTAAAGATGTAAATTTACGTTTTCTTGAGTGATTGTAATTTTGTTTTAGGAATTGTTGCACTTAAATAAATTTTTATTAACTTAAAAATGAAACCTGGGTATACAATATTGTGTCAATCACTTGTACTGTATTAATGGCAGGGATTCTTGCACAAAACTGTCATAAAACACATAACTTCATGTCACTGTAGCACTGCATTTAACTCACCTTCAAATAATTCAAAATCACTGCTCTGATACTTTATTTTCTTCTGCTTTCACTCACTCGGGTTCATATCAATTTTAATTCAATATATTTGTAGTGCTCGACTTGACACGACAGCTTATTGCTTTTCTCTCTCACTTTATTTCGCTAATACCGATCAACATTCCTCCAGCTCACACCAATCAACATTCCTCCCACGCGCTTTCCGCTCGCTCGCCGCGTTCTGCCGGCCTCGCTCGCTCCGCGTCTCTCCTCCGTCGACTCTCCTCTCCACTCTCCCGTCACACTCAGCCGTATCACTATCGGCTTCTCCGCCACATTCCAGCCGCTTTCTGCTGGCGTCGCCGTCACACTCCAGCCGCTTCTGCTGGCTTTTCCATTGCTACTTTATACTTCTCCGCTGCTACCTTATACTTCTCCACTGCTACCCTATACTTCTCCACTGCTACCTTATACTTTTCCACTGCTTCTGGCTCCACTGCTTCAGCTCCAACATCCTTCTTCTCTGCGTGCGTACACCCACACCCGCTTGTGGCGCGTATTTCAGGCACTACACAGTCTGGAAAATCACGGAGAAATGTATATATTTTATCATAATTTAGAAGCAAAAATTAGACTTACCTTTGTTTCAAGTGCTGAAGAAATAAATAAAGATACCAAAAGCACTTTGTTGCTGCATATATTTATTATTTTAATTGATTAACTTTCAATATAGAAACGTCAAATTTAAAGCAAAATTGCGTAAAAAAATGTATCTCTGCTCGACCTGCGGGAGTGTAAAAATCCACCCCCTCATGATTATTAATGAGAGGGGGGGGGCCTCTTTTGCAGTGACGTCACGTACGGATGTAGCACTGTGCTGCGTTTATGTATTTTTTACCGTCACTTTCTGTAAAGAAACGTCATATTTGAAGCGACTTTGCGGGTAAAAATATCTTTCCGCTCAACCTTTTTCCGCATGAATGTAAAAATCCACTCGCTCATGATTATTTTATTATTAATGACTAGGAGGGGGAGCGGCATGTGGTGTGACATCACGCGTGTTACACACATTTCTGGGCTATTTACCTATTTTCCATGAGAAACTGGCAAATGTGTTTTTTCGTTCACATAAAGTCATAAAAAATATGAATACAAAATTGCATGTATTTATAGTAAAGTAATACAAAAAATACTATGAAAGATTTAGATGCGAGAAGTTTTTCGAGATTTATTATTATACTGTAAATCACTTTCACGAATCAGCCCCCAAATGTAGACTCGCATCATGGGACCTCCTTTGCCAGTACTAAAATATGAGAATGAGTTTTCCCCTTTTATTTGGCAACAAAACAGGTGTTTCGTTTGTAATGTGAGGGTATATCCGGGTGGTTGATTGATCACACCTCGTTACGATGATTGGCTCTACCGGTCCTGGCCCATAGCCAATGGGGAGAAGTCAAGGGGCGTGGCCCTGACGTAATGGGAAGGTGAGATCTGCAAGTAGATGATTGGATCGGCTGGCTTTAGCCACAGCCAATGGGGGGACGAGTCAGGGGTGTGGTCCTGGGATCGTACGATGGAGTCTGGAAGATTC